GTCAGTAACTAGTAATAGTTTATGAATTTCCTGGGACATTCTGCGTTTTTTTAAGATGCCATACTAATTGCACCTACACACACAGAGTTTTGATAATGTATTTTACATTCATTGTTGCTCTGTAAATTTCAAGGTATGGCATCAGAGCATAATGGATATTTGTCTGCCCACAACTAATGACACTGAACCTATCAGTGACTAAAAAAAATCTTTTTAATGACCAGTCATGTTGTTCTTCCTTGGCTAAATGTGTTCCAAGACTGCATCTGATGTCTGAAGACGAGTGGAGACAACTGGGAGTGCAGCAGTCTCAAGGATGGATCCACTACACATGACACACGATCCATGTACCAACTCATTGGGTCCCACAAACATCAATATGCTCACTTGCCTTCAAAATGCTAAATGCTAATATGTTACAAAACAATATACTTGCAGCAGTATTTATAATAATAATAGTAATATTTGATTTTCTAATTCTTGGTGTTTATGTTAATCTTAGAAATTGTGCTGCTTTACTTGGTCACAAGAGGGCGCAATGGCTCCATGTGTGGTAGCTGCCGCATTACAGCGTCATGCTGAGCTACAGAAACTTGGCCTATGAAAAAACATTTATGATTTCCCCATTCATTATCGTTATACATTAGTTGTCTTATACTATTACATAGCTATTTAAAATCTTAAGAACTTTTTTCTGATTATTCCAAGTCAAGTCGTGTCAATTTTATCTATAACATACATTTAAAAACAACCAAAGTGCTTCCTAGTTATATGGTCGGTGGGGCATAAGCGTTTCAGCATTTAGTTTATAACCTATATCTATAAAGGAAATACATTTTCAAGGATATTAATTGTATCCTCTGAAAATGTCGTAACTGGCTTCAGAGTGGGGAAATGCGTGGTGGACGTTGGTTACTAATTCAGACGGTGGAAAGTGCTGCTGTGGAAAAGGCTGACGTTTCACTGTACCACTCTAGATTGATACTGCAGGAGTAATAACCTGGGGTGAATATTTAATTTATTATCTGGTATCAGAAGTGACAAACGTGCTTAATTCAAACATGGTGAAAACGTGACTTCAGTGTAGGCAACAGATACAACAAACTCCATTTATTTCTGCTTCAAAGGCAAATAGGTAGTCACAGTTTAAATGTGAACCAAAATGAACTGGAGACACAAATCAGTAAGGTACAAACTCTATTACTCTATCATTTAACCTGTGCCATCCTTAGCATGTGGATGCTGGGGGTTTTATCTGAATTCCACTTTTTTAATGTCAAACAGAGGTGGTTTAAAAAAAAAAAAAAAGAAAACTTGCTTCCACAGCCACCTAACTACATTCCTGCAATCAGAACCCTGTGAATAAACTTGGGCTTTGACTCTCTGGAAGGAAAAAATAAAGATTAAAGACACTATAATCTCAAGGGGAAAATGTCAAACTGCAAGATAGCTTTGAAGGACCGTACTGAGGCTTTAGAAGGCAGTGAAGGTGCAAACATTTGATATTTGTAAAATAACTTAACTATAAGCTGTCAAGATGTTGTCACTTATGCAGATCAGTGCTCCTCATATACCAATAGGTTTATTGCTCCTGACAAGCACTGTTTTCAGGATGTTCATTTTCATCAGTAAAAGTAGAAACAAATGCACGGCAGCCCACACGCCCTCAGACTGAGGCTACATGCAGCTTTGTCTCCTCGGCAGTTTTGGAAGGAGTCCCCAAACCATCATCACAACCCGATGAGCCCCTGCAGAAGGCAGGTGTTGTAAATACTTTGCTGCACGGTCCATCAAACTCCTGTGTAAGACGTGAGCACTGGGACATCGTATTCCATCTGTTTATGATGGATTCAGTGCCAAAGGTGTGGTCCACCTGGGATGATGACCATGATTACAACCAGATTCCGCCAACACAAGTGAAGCTTATGACATCTTCACAGAGATCAGTGGCCATCACAACTTTCCTGTGGAGAAAAGAAAAAACAAACAGAGTTGAGCAGGAGAAAAGGATGTAAACATGGAAGAAATATTTAGGTATTGATCTTTTTAATGTTAATAAAATATTTTAAACTAACATCTAGACCTCTGAGTTGCTGGCCACACATTCAATTTCATCAGTCATTCAAATAAAAAGGAAACAAAATGATCATTCAGTCTGAATATCAGTCTGAAATTAAGCTAGTTTAACAGAACACAAACTGCTTTGCAATGAGGAAGCTAGCATGTTTTTACAGTCAAACTTTATGCATGCAAGTAGTACACCTGCATTCACCAAAAGAGAGACATGGTCTCACAATTGAGACAGAGTCCCTTTCAATGTGAAAGGGAAAAGTACAAACAGGAGAAAGAACAGACAATGTAGTTAATTGTAATGTTGTTAAATGTTAAAAGTTGCAGGAATAGCTAGTAATTCAAATAAGTGAACTTCACTTTCTCAAACCCTGGCTTTAAATGTCCTAATTACTGCAAACCCTTTTAAAGACACTGTGAATAAAGAACACTAAAACTGTTTATTTCAAGCAATAACAATCAAATGTCTTTAGCTCTGTGTCCCTAGTTATTTGCCATAGCCCCACTAAATCAGGACTTTGCACTTCTCTAGTACTAGAAGGTAGAAGGTACAAACAGGTGCACATGATACAAGTCAGCCAGGGCAACTGCGCAGCAGCTTTGGTGAGATTGGAACGAAACACAACTCACACGCAACATAAACCTACCCAGGCCTTTTCCCATCTTTTTAGCAGTTGCTCATGCTCTGTGAGTGCACCTCTCCATTGGTCCAAATCCCTGGATGGAACGCTCCCCTCATCTGTCAAATAACAACATCTTTCATCGATATAAAAACATTACAAATGCCCATCAGTGGCATTGCTGACAACCAATCCCAGGCACTCTGTTCCATCACCTCTCTACGTGCATTGCTGTGATCACAATTGATCTCACATTTTGGAGACGTAAAAAGTTTTATTACTTCAATACATATTGCCAAGGTAGACAATCTCAGCTTCATGATGTTCTGCACACTGGACATTTTCACAGCCATACAACACCGGGTCCAGATACCTCCAATAGGGATGCGGAGGTCAACCTCAGACGTGTCACTTCCAGTACTGGCCTCAGCGACACAGTGATAACGGGCATTCTTTATCAGCGGCCCCTCTTGTAGCCAGCTGCTCACTAGTACCTCCCTCTGACCCAGCGGCCGACGGTATTCCATTATAGGGGTGTCCAGACTACGCCCATTTATTAGCCAGTGAATGTGGACATCACTTGGACCTGAGGGACAGAATCGGACTTGATGTTTGACCCCAGATGGTCATGACACCGACACATAGACGAACTGTACATGAAATGGGAATACTTGCCTTTGATTAGGTCCGTTTGTGGTGTTTCAATGAACCGCTCTAGAGGTTTGACTAAATAGATGTGCAGTGTAGGAAGTGTACATGTATGCATAATACCGTATATCAGCTCTGATATTCAGTGCATCCTGAACAGTCGGAGTCACTTAGCTGTACATATGTCGTTTGCATAGTTATTATTGAAGGCTAATCATCACCAGTAACATTTACAGTATTTAACAATTTTCTGTTTCTATTTTCATTTTACAGAATCCTAATTTCATTGCACATACAGACGTTTTCTGCAGTAGCTTTCGCCATTATCCTCACTAACAAGTTCACAATGTTGAAAATACACGCAAGTCAAAAATTTAAGAAAACAAACCAGTGTTGAAAACGTTTGACAAGATTTATTTAGCCTCCCTACCAAGAGCAATAGTCCCAAAATGTCCCCTAGATTTATTTACATCTTCTAAAATGTATTTTTCCATATATACAAAATATATTTACACTTGTTTACAGGCACAAAAAAAAATGTATCCAGATAAAAGTATTGAGATGTAAGACATTTGCGCATACTATAAACTGTTCTGAGGAGAGATCCTCAACACCCTGGATTAAAAGGATCCACTTCTAAATTTTACATGTGTCACATCAGACTGCTGTTACACAATAATATACATAAAATTGTACCTTTCATAAACATAGAATTGAGAACCAGATCACTGAGAGTTTGACAGTTAATATTGAATCCCAGCTTTGTCGCTTTAAACATTCAATCATTATACAGGCATCTTACCAGACACCTAAATATGGGGGTGAACAATCAGACACTTTAAAGCAAAGGGCAGGCTTG